CCGACGAACAGTTCTGGTGCTGACGTTGCTTCCAGAGGCAGTTTGGAACTCTGTAGTGAGTGTTGCAACCGAGGACCGATGATTTTTATGCGCTTCAGCACTCGGCGGTCCCGTTCTGTGAGCTTGTATGGACTACCATTTTGCGGCTGAGCCATTGTTGCTCCTAGATGGTTCCACTTCACAATAACAGCACTTACAGTTGACCGGGGCAGCTCTAGCAGGGCAGAAATTTGCTGAACTGACTTGTTGGAAAGGTGGCATCCTATGACAATGCCCCGTTAAAAGTCACTGAGCTCTTCAGGAAGGCCATTCGACTGCCAATGTTTTCCTATGGAGATTGCATGGCTGTGTGCTCGATTTTATACACCTGTCAGCAACGGGTGTGGCTGAAATGGCCGACTCCACTAATACCGTATACGTTTGTGTGTGTACATGCATGCACAATATTTACACATTTTTACTATTTTCTACATTTTAAAATAATAGTGAAGATATCAAAACTATGAAAACACATTGAATCATGTAGTAACCATAAAAGTGTTAAACAAAAATATATTTTATATTTGAGATTCTTCAAATAGCCACCCTTTGCCTTGACAGCTTTGCACATTCTTGGCATTCTTTCAACCAGCTTCATGAGGTAGTCACCTGGAATGCATTTCAATTAACAGGTGTGCCTCCTTAAAAGTGAATTTGTGGAATTTCTTTCCTTAATGCGTTTGAGCCAATCAGTTGTGTTGTGACAAGGTGGGGGGTATACAGAACGTAGCCCTATTTGGTAAAAGACCAAGTCCATATTATGGCAAGAACCGCTCAAATAAGCAAAGAGAAACGACAGTCCATCATTACTTTAAGACATGATGATCAGTCAATACGGAACATTTCAAGAACTTTGAACGTTTCTTAAAGTGCAGTCGCAAAAACCATCAAGCGCTATGGTGAAACTGGCTCTCATGAGGACCGCCACAGGAATGGAAGACCCAACGTTACCTCTGCTGCAGAGGTACTTGAAACATTGTATCAACTATTAACTTGGTTCCAGCCTGAAACTTACTATCAAACCTGCAACATTGTTAAAAATATTCTGGGCCCTCAGTTTCCGCCAGTGAGCTCCGGACAGACATACAGCTGTGGGCTATTTACGCAAGGGATAAGAAGTAATCAGGTAGGCCTTTTTATGACGTTTTCCACCAGATCAGAGCATGACACTTTTTTTCACTTTCATGCTGAGTGGTTATCGGAAGGGAGAGAGCTGGAAAGATTTTTCAAATAGGCTACATTGAGGAACTATTGTCATTCATAAAAACAGACTTTGTTTACTTGCTTTTTGAGGCAAAGAAAAAATAACTTTGAGAAGCTCCACAGTGATGGTGAGTTGAGCCAATCAGAAATAGTATCAAATCCCCAAATGGGCACATTTATAAGCTTACTCAAGATTGACAGGAGTGCTGCAAACAAAAGACAATTAATAAATTGACAACTCGTTAATGGAATGAAATAAAACAAAACTTGTTTCTCGCAAGTGTAGCCTAGGTTGTGCGCTCTGCAAACAACGTGTCCACTCCGACAATGATAACAGTAAGACTGTAATAATAATATATTGAATGCATTAACAGAAGTTACCCTAACCAAACAAACATTGTAGATGAGAAATGATGGTAATTAACGGTAAATGTACTACTGGTGATACTGGTGTGCCATCCCCGCGGCCTCCGCAATGGATTAGTCCACTCAGACAGGCGTGAATCAGACAGGTGTCTCGTGTGCCATAACAATTTTTTAATATATTTGCAGCTGCTCGACTAAAAAAAATGTTGTTAGGCCAACTGCCTGTCGACTAAATGGGGTCAGCCCTACTTGATAGGGAGCAGCTGGTGTTTTTAGCAGTGCAAAGTCGCACCGTATAGCCTTGGTAATGAATGTTCCCCAGAATCCCCAGTCTTCCTCCCAAGTTATTGTGTCTGTCAAAGGAAGCAGTTTGACCTTGGCACAACTAGCTAATACAATCAGGAACCGGACTGGGGGAAGTTGACGTATAGGGAACTGTGAACTCTGTACAGGGTTCATTTTTAGGTGGAAATTCATTTTCACCTAGTTTATTGACGTTTAAAAATGTTTTGGGCATTTCTTTTAATTTAATATTGAATTTATCTTGTCAATTGACCATGCAACAAGTTTTATTTTCAGGCATATGAGTGTACTAGAGCTCAAGGAATGTGGATGTGTCGGGGCTTCGCTCTTGAAAAACAAATTAGATATCAGCTACAGTGAGGGGAAAAAAGTATTTGATCCACTGCTGATTTTGTATGTTTGCCCACTGATAAAGAAATTATCAGTCTATAATTTTAATGGTAGGTCTATTTGAACAGTGAGAGACAGAATAACAACAACACAATCCAGAAAAACGCATGTAAAAAATGTTATAAATTGATTTGCATTTTAATGAGGGAAATAAGTATTTGACCCCCTCTCAATCAGAAAGATTTCTGGCTCCCAGGTGTCTTTTATACAGGTAACAAACTGAGATTAGGAGCACTCCCTTTAAGAGTGTGCTCCTAATCTCAGCTCGTTACCTGTATAAAAGACACTTGTCCACAGAAGCAATCAATCAATCAGATTCCAAACTCTCCACCATGGCCAAGACCAAAGAGCTCTCCAAGGATGTCAGGGACAAGATTGTAGACCTACACAAGGCTGGAATGGGCTACAAGACCATCGCCATGCAGCTTGGTGAGAAGGTGACAACAGTTGGTGCGATTATTCGCAAATGGAAGAAACACAAAATAACTGTCAATCTCCCTCGGCCTGGGGCTCCATGCAAGATCTCACCTTGTGGAGTTGCAATGATCATGAGAACGGTGAGGAATCAGCCCAGAACTACACAGGAGGATCTTGTCAATGATCTCAAGGCAGCTGGGACCATAGTCACCAAGAAAACAATTGGTAACACACTACGCCGTGAAGGACTGAAATCCTGCAGCGCCCGCAAGGTCCCCCTGCTCAAGAAAGCACATATACAGGCCCGTCTGAAGTTTGCCAATGAACATCTGAATGATTCAGAGGAGAACTTGTTGAAAGTGTTGTGGTCAGATGAGACCAAAATGGAGCTCTTTGGCATCAACTCAACTCGCCGTGTTTGGAGGAGGAGGAATGCTGCCTATGACCCCAAGAACACCATCCCCACCGTCAAACATGGAGGTGAAACATTATGCTTTGGGAGTGTTTTTCTGCTAAGGGGACAGGACAACATCACCGCATCAAAGGGACGATGGACGGGGCCATGTACCGTCAAATCTTGGGTGAGAACCTCCTTCCCTCAGCCAGGGCATTGAAAATGGGTCGTGGATGGGTATTCCAGCATAACAATGACCCAAAACACACGGCCAAGGCAACAAACGAGTGGCTCAAGAAGAAGCACATTAAGGTCCTGGAGTGGCCTAGCCAGTCTCCAGACCTTAATCCCATAGAAAATCTGTGGAGGGAGCTGAAGGTTCGAGTTGCCAAACGTCAGCCTCGAAACCTTAATGACTTGGAGAAGTTCTGCAAAGAGGAGTGGGACAAAATCCCTCCTGAGATGTGTGCAAACCTGGTGGCCAACTACAAGAAACGTCTGACCTCTGTGATTGCCAACAAGGGTTTTGCCACCAAGTACTAAGTCATGTTTCGCAGAGGGGTCAAATACTTATTTCCCTCATTAAAATGCAAATCAATTTATAACATTTTTGACATGCATTTTTCTGGATTTTTGTTGTTGTTATTCTGTCTCTCACTGTTCAAATAAACCTACCATTAAAATTATAGACGGATAATTTCTTTGTCAGTGGGAAAACATACAAAATCAGCAGGGGATCAAATACTTTTTTCCCTCACTGTATTTGGTTGGCATTCGATGAAGACTTGCTATTAATATAACTGAATGTAAGTGTGGTGGTGGGTGGACATGGATGACAGGGCATCATTATCTTAAAATAATGTTTTTGGTTAGTTTTTTACCCCCTTTTTCCCCCAATTTCGTGATATCCAATTGGTAGTTAGTTTTCTCCCACCGCTGCAACTCCCGTACGGACTCGGGAGAGGCGACGGTTTGAGAGCTATGCGTCCTCCGAAAAAGAACCCTGCCGAGCCGCACTGCTTCTTGACACACTGCTCGCTTAACCCAGAAGCCAGCCGCACCAATGTGTCGGCGGAAACACGATACAACTGGCGACCGTGTCAGCGTGAATGCGCCCGGCCCGCCACAGGAGTTGCTAGAGTGTAATGGGACAAGGACATCCCCACTGGCCAAACCCTCCCCTAATAATTGGCTGGGCCAATTGTGCGCCGCCTCATGGGTCTCCCAGTCGCGGCCGGCTGCGACACAGCCCGGGATCGAACCCGGGTCTGTAGTGACGCCTTAGACCGCTGCGCCACTCGGGAGGCAGGGCAACGTTATCTTAAGAGCCCAAGTCATTCACCCCAGCCCCACCCAGCCTTGCTAAAACTAGTCTGTCTCTGCCTCGGCTCAAGAGACGGACACTCCTCTCACCCTAAGGGATTTCTGGATTACATCTTCAGGGTTAGCTCTACGAGGAGAAGCTATGGTGCCTTTTCTACAGATTAAGGATGTGGCGTAAAGCCAGGTGACTGGATACGTCATGTGTAGTGCCATGGATCACTTGGTCAGAAAATACATGCGTTTGCAGGGTGAAGGAGAAGGGGGAAATATAAAAAAAATCTCTAGTTTTATTTTTCTGCTGAGCCTCTGCTCTGGAATAAAATGTATGGACACTTGCCAAGTATGGCAGCAATTTACTTGTCCGTTGTGATGACATGCTTGTTGCTGCTGTTTGCTTTTGGCTATTTTCCTGCATTTTCTCTTGAATTTGACTCCCAGAAGGTTGAGTGGGTTGCACCTAACTATATCCAGCTCCGTAGTCCATTGACAGTCAGTCTTATATGTTGTTCTCTCCTCAGTTTAACAGATAGCCGCCATCATTCCGTGCTGTAAAGGTGACCCCGAAATGTCTTCCAATGGAGACCTGCGAGACGTCGGGAGCTGCGAAAGCTTCTGGGAGGTAAGCTCAACAACTACACCCCTACACCCACAGGTCTGCCAATCCTGTGGAGCTGACCAATCTGGTGTGGAAGTAGGACTACCACAGGACTGCCCTCTCAGGCAGCCCTCCCATTTTTTGCATGGAAGGCTCTTTTCAGGAGAATCACTACAGGGCAACACACATAATGAGTCCCTGCTGATTATACATTTCCATGCCCTGGCTATAAGAGGTTCCTCATCCCATTGGCTCCTCTTCTCCCCCACCTCATCAGGCCTGCCCCATCAATTTATCACTTGCTCTGAGGAAAACTAGCAGCAGTAGTCATCTGCTCTGTGCATTAAAGGGTTCAGTGTTTGGTTATGTGATGTAATATGTCTCTCTCCCTGGCCTGTGGCATTCTCATTTAACTAGCAAACTAATCTGTCTGACTTGTGTGTGCTATGTTGAATGGCTTCATAGATATGTACTACATATCCTCTGCAGCAGTCAACGAAATAAGCTGAGGCATGGACATCTGTTTAAGTCTGACATTTACTGCAAGCTAAGGCCACTCCGGATGATTGTCCAGATGTTCATGTGCTCTCTTTTCAGAGGTCAACTGTGGGTTGTCAAATTTTCCCAGTCTTCTCTCTGTAACTGGTACATTTCCCAGATCATAAGTCAACGCCCATATTTCCATAACGTTTTCCCTATGTAGCAGATCTTTCTTACACAAGTATATGTCCATCTTTACTTAGCCGGGGCACTACAAGAGGACGGTGAAGCGTATTGACGATGGACACAAGCTGTGCAATGAGCTAGTCAGCTGCTTCGCGGAGCGGGCCAAGATTGAGAAGGGCTATTCCCAGCAGCTGAGTGACTGGGCCAAGAAGTGGAGGGGTGTAGTGGAGAAAGGTGAGTTGGCCTGGTAGTGGAGGGACTCATTCACCATGGCCACCCCCAAAATAGAGCCTGTAGTGAAGCTCATATACTGCCTCAACCCGATCTCATTCTCACCCTGTCAGTGACTAGTACAAAAAAACGGATATGACACCCATTCCCAAAGATATAGGTCATCATTTACTGGTTGAATAATGACTTCACTCTCATTGAATGACTTGGAGCCTAGTGTTATTGGAGTGAAATGTGTCCATTAACCCTGTGACTTCTCCACCTGAAGGGCCTCAGTATGGCACCCTGGAGAAGGCGTGGCATGCCTTCATGAATGCCGCTGATAGGCTGAGTGAGATCCACATGGAGCTGAAGGAGCACCTGGCTGTGGAGGACAGCGAGAAGGTCCGTAATTGGCAGAAAGATGCCTTCCACAAGCAGATGATCGGAGGGTTCCGGGAGACAAAGGATGCAGACGAAGGATTCCGCAAGGCACAGAAACCCTGGGTCAGGAAACTGAAAGACGTGAGTGTCGCTCTTCTAACCAGTTTAATGTTCAGACATAATCAACCCTGAATGACCAATAATAGATTAGTGTACATTGTGTTATTGTTTGATGTGGTATTTAATTAGGATCCCAATTAGCTGTTGCGAAAGCAGAAGCTACTCTTCCTGGGGTCAACACCAAATATGATATAATACAGAACATTAATGTCGCTCGTCCCGTGTGTCTCAGTTGGTAGAACATGGATCTTGCAACGCCAGAGTTGTGGGTTCGATTCCCACGGGAGACCAGTATGAAAAAGTATAAAATAAACTGCTCAAAAAAATAAGGGGAACACTTAAACAACACAATGTAACTCCAAGTCAATCACACTTCTGTGAAATCAAACTGTCCACTTAGGAAGCAACACTGATTGACAATACATTTCACTTGCTGTTGTGCAAATGGAATAGACAACAGGTGGAAATTATAGGCAATTAGCAAGACACCCCCAATAAAGGACTGGTTTTGCAGGTGGTGACCACAGACCACTTCTCAGTTCCTATGCTTCCTGGCTGATGTTTTGGTCACTTTTGAATGCTGGTGGTGCTTTCACTCTAGTGGTAGCATGAGACGGAGTCGACAACCCACACAAGTGGCTCAGGTAGTGCAGCTCATCCAGGATGGCACATCAATGCGAGCTGTGGCAAGAAGGTTTGCTGTGTCTGTCAGCGTAGTGTCCAGAGCATGGAGGCGCTACCAGGAGACAGGCCAGTACATCAGGAGACGTGGAGGAGGCCGTAGGACAACAACCCAGCAGCAGGACTGCTACCTCCGCCTTTTTGCAAGGAGGAGCAGGAGGAGCACTGCCAGAGCCCTGCAAAATGACCTCCAGCAGGCCACAAATGTGCGTGTGTCTGCTCAAACGGTCAGAAACAGACTCCATGAGGGTGGTATGAGGGCCCGACGTCCACAGGTGGGGGTTGTGCTTACAGCCCAACACCGTGCAGGACGTTTGGCATTTGCCAGAGAACACCAAGATTGGCAAATTCGCCACTGGCGCCCTGTGCTCTTCACAGATGAAAGCAGGTTCACACTGAGCACATGTGACAGACGTGACAGAGTCTGGAGACGCCGTGGAGAACGTTCTGCTGCCTGCAACATCCTCCAGCATGACCGGTTTGGCGGTGGGTCAGTCATGGTGTGGGGTGGCATTTCTTTGGGGGGCCGCACAGCCCTCCATGTGCTCGCCAGATGTAGCCTGACTGCCATTAGGTACCGAGATGAGATTCTCAGACCCCTTGTGAGACCATATGCTGGTACGGTTGGCCCTGGGTTCCTCCTAATGCAAGACAATGCTAGACCTCATGTGGCTGGAGTGTGTCAGCAGTTCCTGCAAGAGGAAGGCATTGATGCTATGGACTGGCCCGCCCGTTCCCCAGACCTGAATCCAATTGAGCACATCTGGGACATCATGTCTCGCTCCATCCACCAACGCCACGTTGCACCACAGACTGTCCAGGAGTTGGCGGATGCTTTAGTCCAGGTCTGGGAGGAGGTCCCTCAGGAGACCATCCGCCACCTCATCAGGAGCATGCCCAGGCGTTGTAGGGAGGTCATACAGGCACGTGGAGGCCACACACACTACTGAGCCTCATTTTGACTTGTTTTAAGGACATTACATCAAAGTTGGATCAGCCTGTAGTGTGGTTTTCCACTTTAATTTTGAGGGTGACTCCAAATCCAGACCTCCATGGGTTGAGAAATTTGATTTCCATTGATAATTTTTGTGTGATTTTGTTGTCAGCACATTCAACTATGTAAAGAAAAAAGTATTTAATAAGATTATTTCATTCATTCAGATCTAGGATGTGTTATTTTAGTGTTCCCTTTATTTTGCCAGGAGACCGGTACCTGCCCCAATGCATAGTGCCAACTGTAAAGTTTGGTGGAGGAGGAATAATGGTCTGGGGCTGTTTTTCATGGTTTGGGCTAGGCCCCTTAGGTCCAGTGAAGGGAAATCTTAACGCTACAGCATACAGTGACGTTGTAGACGATTCTGTGCTTCCAACTTTGTGGCAACAATTTTGGGAAGGCCCTTTCATGTTTCAGCATGACAATGCCCCCTTGCACAAAGCGAGGTCCATACAAAAAGGGTTTGTCGAGATCGCTGTGGAAGAACTTGACTGTCCTGCACAGAGCCCTGACCGAACGCCGACTGCGAGCCAGGCCTAATCGCCCAACATCAGTCCCCGACCTAATCCTCTTGTGGCTGAATGGAAGCAGAGCTGTGTGTCAGTTGACTATGCAAACAATTTGGAATTTTCAACACATTGTTTTTTTATAAAAAGTCAGTCTCTCCTCAATTCTTAGCCAAGAGACTGGCATGCATAGTATTTATATTATCCCTCTGATTACAATGAAGACCAAGACGTGCCGCTCTGTTCTGGGCCAGCTGCAGCTTAACTATGTCTTTCTTTGCAGCACTTGACCACGACTGGACAATAATCAAGATAAGACAAAACTAGAGCCTGTAGGACTTGCTTTTTGGAGTGTGGTGTCAAAAAAGCAAAGCTTATTATTATTATTATTATTGACAGACCTCTCCCCATCTTTACAACCATTGAATCTATATGTTTTGACAATGACAGTTTACAATCTAAGCTAACACCAAGTAATTTGGTCTCCTCAACTTGTTCAACAGCCACACCATTAATTACCAGATTCAGCTGAGGTCTAGAGCTTAGGGAATGATTTGTACCAAATTCAATGAAGATATGTGTGGTTGGTGATGATTAGTAAATAGAGCAATTCCTCTGTCCAAGGTGGAGTCATCTAAGAAGAGTTACCACCAGGCCCGTAAAGAGGAGAAGACTGCTTTGACTCGCGAGACCCATGCCAAGGCTGACCCCACCAAGTCACAGGAAGAGGTCCGCAAATTTACAGACCGTGTGGAGAAATGCAACCAGGAAGCAGAGAAGGTACTGAAACTCCACCGATCATATGTGAACAATAAGTGTTCAGCTAGGTAGTCATCAGGTTACATTACATTTATTTTAGTCAAGAGGCTTGTGAGGTCATTCAGGTTTTTTGTTACACGCTGTACTTTAGCTGGAATCCTGAGCCTTTTGAACCTACTGTTAACCCATGAACACAAGTAACAAGCCAACCTCTTGCGCATTCATTATGTTATTTGTACCAGCCTTATAGGGTCAGCTAATGGGACAGTCCAGTCTAAATAGCGGATGTGTCGGTGGAATTGGTTCAGTGCAGTTACAAAGCATTGTTTTAGTTGGTGTGCTGTCTAGAGGCAGCATGTAGTCAAGTGTGAAATTGTGGGTGGGGAAGCACATACTGACTTGCCTTTTTTAAAAACATGACTGTTTGGCGTGATGAGACTTGTCAGGTGGCAGCCTTGCAGCGACAAGTAGAACGACTGGGAGCTGTTGTTTTTGACTGGCTGGATCTGTGGAGGCTTTTATTGTTAGTCTCTCCCACCATGTCTAAACTATAATGTGCTGTAGGAAGTGCACAGTAAGGTTCCATTGATGAAGTTGAGTTAGTAATCAAAGCTTTCCTAGTTTAAAATGTAGGGATAGTTTGTAATTTATACAGTAAATCCTTAACTGGATTTATGTCTGTTTACTTGCCCACAGCAAATCTCTTGAGTCTACACCCTGTTAACGGCTCTCTGTCTGCTCAGGGAAGGCAGGCTCTTTCTCTTAGATTACCAACATGCCAAACAACATTAGCTACTTCAAAGCCAAGTGCTTCCTGGCATCTGACAGGAAGTTTTTTTTTTTTTAATGTATAAATATTTTAAATGGTATAACAGGACAAAATATAATGTATACAACATTCAGACGAAGTTTGGCCAATGCGTTTTTACCGTTTACTCCCATTGTTTTGCACGTAAAGATGGTGATTCTGTGTCTGAAGCCAAATGTATATTTAGTTGCTGTGTGTCTGATTTAACTCCAGGCAAAGGAGCGCTATGAGAAGGCTTTGGAGGAGCTGAACCGCTGTAACCCACGCTACATGGAGGACATGGAGCAGGTGTTTGAGATAACCCAGGAGGCTGAGAAGAACAGGCTGTGCTTCTTCAAGGAGGTCCTGCAGGACATCCACAAACACTTGGACCTCTCCAGCAAGGATGGGTATGACAATCACACATTCTGCTGACTAGTACATCTACCCTTGTACTCAACTGTGCAATATCTTGAGTGAAGTGAGGTAATCTTATTTTTTTTCTGGACACATCTATTTATGGTTAATGGTTAACAACGTATCTTGGTTCATAGATGTTTTTTAAAAATAAATATATTTTCCTCTTATCTTGAATTGGGCGCTGGACATTCTTTGCCACTTACAGGTATGATGTTGAGACATTAGTCATGTTTTACAGTTGCATAGATTGCACAAGATTGAACAGTAGACTTTGAGCGTGCGCATCTAATAGTGCATTCTATTTCGTAGAATTAGCCTACATTTCTGTTCAACAGTATGTGTACACAAGGAGTGAATGTTCAACTGCTGGTGTTGTCCATTAACTAACAGTCTTTCATATCAGGTCCTTACTCTATTTAGAAAAGGGCCAGGTGACCATGGAACTGTTGATGGTTGGTCTGACCTTCCGGCTAAACAAATATTCGGTGGAATGTACCCACGTTCTTATAGCTTGGTATTGCCAGAGAATGAGATAAACCTAGCAAAGTAAAGTACAGTAAGGGTGGACTTATGTGTTTGACTGGATAAAGTCCACCAATCCCACAACAAAAACACCCTCAGTCACACATTCCAATAAAAATGTTGAGGTGATTTCAGTTTTATTTATGGACCTCTGCATATCCCCCCCATTTTCTAAAATGGACAAAGTATTTTTGTATGTTCCTAATGGTTTTTGAAGCGTGTGCTCTCATTTTGCCACATACCCCTGTTATCCTGTGTATTCGTACCCAAGATGGTCACATTACATAATTATCCTTTGCATCCACACACGTGTTGAACTATCTTGCTCATTGACCACAGTATTGTGTTAGAATGTGACTCCAGTGATTAACAGAGGAAGTTGTCCCTTAGATTCAAGATCTTGTACCGTGACCTGGGCCAGACCATCACTGCAGCCAATGACAGCGAAGACCTAAGGTGGTGGAGAAATACCCATGGGCCTGGCATGAGCATGAACTGGCCGCAGTTTGAGGTAAAGGACATTGTCTGTCTGTAACCTTTTTTATTTATTTTATGTAAACAATTGTCTATTGACTTTGAGGGCACATGAGTTACAATACAAATTGCATAACGTAAGCTTATAACAAATATGTTGCCTGCGTTTACTGATTTATCAAATAGTATATATAAATCCAAAACATTAATTTTACATAATTATTTGGTAAAGAAACATTGTCAAAGGTGTACTGTTCATATAAATAAGAGGTCTTCCCCATATAGACATATTGAGCTCTTGCTTGAACTGTTGGTCAATTCAGAAAGGGGATGACGTTGAATGGGCCCTTGTGTGACATGTGGACCTGAGTGGGTTCTGGAATGCTGGAGTGCTTTCTCAGAGCTAAAGCCTGCTCTGACCACCCCACACACAGCCCAAGGTTCCTGAGCCAGGCCATTTAAAACTGCTCCTCAGTCACCACCTTTACTCTACTGCACATGCAGGATGCTGCAAAATGCTGTTTTTCTATTTTGTGGGAAATTACAACTACTGGGAACAAAAAATCCTCTACTTCATAATGATCAATTTAAAGCTGGCGATAGCTGGCACACAGGAGCATGTTGATCTGGAAACCGGTATTGGTTTACAGTTCCAGGCAAAGCCACTGTGAAGCTTGTGGAGAGTGAGAATGAGGCAGCTCTCCTCTGTCTCCTTAGGAATCTTTTGGCATTCCCACTGGTTTCCCCGGACACAGGGGCCCTTTGTCCTGGCTGGGGAGCAGCACAGCTCTTTGTAGTGGCTTCAAAAGCACTCTGATTATTTAGTATCCTCCCAAAGATGATGCCTCAACATGTGACTGGCGAAACTGTATCCTCAGTTAACTGACAAACAGTGTTAACAGATTTCTTTCCTCTCCACTTTTCATCAGATGGTGATTTGGTTTAGATTACAGGTCTGTGAGGTGGCTGTTCTTTTGTGGTGTGTGGGTTTGATCGACTGCATTGATAAAGAACACAATAGGCCAGATGAATACAATAGATATTTCAGTCAGTAGTGTGAGAGATGTTCAAAATAAACTATACTGTTTCGAAGAAGCCACTGTATGTGTGAAAGAAAATGTGATGTTACCAGCTGGTGATAGTTAGAAAAAATATAAAATAGTTCCATGCTTTTTAAAGTGTATTTTATAAACATTTGTCTGTTTGTCCAGGAGTGGTCCCCTGAGTCAAACCGCTCCATCTCCAACCAGAAGGCGAGGAACAGCCGTGCCGAGGACGTGGTCACCCTGACCAACATTGTCCCTTCAAGCGAGGAGGCACCCCAGACCCCTCAGGAGACCACCAGGTAACTGTGCTCTCTGTGACCTGCACATGACCTATCCGCCCTGCTCTCCCTGCACTATCACAGTAGCTTCTGTACCAAATGGGTTGTCCAAATGTAGAGCTAGAGATTACTCTTTGACCGACTGCACCACTATTCATGAATTGTCTTCTCAGCTTTAGGACAGGTATGTCATTCTTCTTCTATAATACAATAGTTGCCTTGTGCATGGAGCAGGAAAGACTGGGAATAATAGTTGTTTAGTACAGTATCTTGTTATTGTGACTCACTATTCCCACGGGACAGTGGATGTTTATGAGGAGTACTTATTTTATTTTTTGTAATAGAAATTGATGACATTGGTACTTGAGGCCGAGTTTTTTTTCAAAAACATGACAAACGAAAGGATGACGTAGTTATTATGTGTTAACTCTCTGTTGGTTTGCTCCAAAGCTGGTTTGCTCCAAATACATATATCTCTGAGGTGTTTACACTACAATTATTCCAGCTTTTGAAAATCTCTGTTTGGCTTCTGCTACTGTATTTGTCTTGTGTTCTTAGTAACCGTGGTCCCCCAAGGAGTTTAACTTCCTGTATCCACAGAGAGCTGCAGCCTCTAATTAGTGTTTGTACCAGTGTTGAGTCAGAGGCCTTGTGTCTGTGTGTCTTTGTCTGTTTGTTTTCATGCGTTGAATTTAACCTCCATATTCAGTTAACATACATACACCAGTCACAGTAGATGTTCATACAGTGTCGCTCTATCTTGGTGTGTGAGCACTGAGATCAAATGAAGGTATGTTGATTTATTGTGTCACCTTTCATAGAACTTGTTGGGGGAAAGATCTGTGGTCGCTACCACCCTCTGTTGGTTAAAAGTTATCGCTACAGTGACATAATGAGAATACATGGCCCGCTTGATAAGACATTTTGCTAGATTTCTGGTTTCAGCCTCCATGTGTAGTTTGGAAGAGAATAATTCATGTTCATTGTTTTCTTCATACCATCCTTGTATGACTACTCAGAAAGTACTAGATTTATTTTGCTTTTTTGCCCAGGGATACTAACCCTCTGCCCTTTTCCTTTCCTGTCAACAGAGGGGTCAAAGACTACTCATCAGACTGGTCTGACGAAGACATCCCCAAAAAGGTCATCGCTGCTAATGGGGTGGAGGACGAAGAGAAGGTAGAAGGGGTACGAGTTAGAGCATTGTATGATTACAATGGGCAGGAGGCGGATGAGCTGAGCTTTAAAGCAGGTATTAATCCCTACTAATGCTTATTAATGTCACTGGACATCAACACACAGACACACACACACGGACCAATGCATGCATGGCAGCCACAACTCACTTTGGTCTGAATGCACACTTTGTTTTGCTAAACTAGTGGCATGGATATTAATTCACCATTTGTTCATTTGGTCTATAAAGGTGTTTCAAATGTAAGGACAAACAACAGTGGGTGAATTAATACAAGTGTGATTTACACAACATGAGCTTCAGATTTGAAGACACTGTGCAGCAATATCATTTGTATCCTACCACATACATGATTTTAGTTATGGAAAGGATATGTGTTGTATATAATCAACCTTGGTTCCCTTTGGTCTGATTTATTTCCAAATATATCCTTGATATAATTATTTCAAAGGATATCCTGTTTGAAAACATTATTGTATTTACAGCTTTGGTTGAAGTTACTCATCCTAATTCTAGATGTTTAACATTCAAAGTAGCTACGTAAATAATAAGAATGCAATAAATGGTGTCAAACAAAATTATTATCAAATGATAATCAATTTTAAACTCCTACAACTCCTCAACAATGCAGGTAAGTGTTGCAATTGATAGTCATGACGATTGTTTTGAGATATGTATGAATTACCTTGAACTGAACCAGACTCGTCATTTGTCAAGAGACTTCACAAAATGCAGTTCTTTATCCTAGATGATTCCTGCCAGCTAAAAGGCACAGGGTAACATTGTCCATTATTTAGTTTAGCAGTTAATTCACATGATCACGAGGACCCTAGAGGACCCCTTGTTACGCTAGTGAAAATAAAGCTGCCGGTAAGGCAGTGTCATGCCCCTCTGATTGGTGGGGCACACTCTAGTCTCCCTCCCAGTGGAGCTTAACCAGTCTAAGCCCCCATTAGAGCCCAGTCTAACTGGGAGCCAATGTCCTTGTCTGGGCTATCTCCTAGATTAGTAGATATCTTCACAGAGGGGGGTCGTGCACCCTTGGATTTGGAGAGGATACTGGATAATATGAGTTGACGTGCCCATGTAGCGAGATCTTAGTAGACCTTAGTTTAACTCTGATCTGCACCATGGCCTTGCTTTTGGTCGACTTTGGTTCCAGTCTTGAGGGATCACAAAAGGCCAACTGATTTGAGACAGGGCAGGGGTTAATGATCCTTTTGGAGAAGGAATAAGCCCTCACACTTGTCTTCTGTGATGAGCTTTTGCTTTCTAGAAGAGCACCTCAGACTAAACTAAGAATGATATAGATAGATGTCAACATTTTTAAGTCATTTCAACCATTTGGATAAGGTGAGAACATGTACACAGGTAATTATGCTGCCACCTTGTGGTGGTCCCTGTAACAAAATTGAAATTCAGAAGTCCATTACATGAATATGGATGAATTATGGTGCATGTAATTGCACTGAGAAGATAATCTTTCACACTCCCAGCAGGTAGTGTCGGTGGAATATTCCAGATATACATGGGACTGGAAGAAACAGTGCAAGTTATTATTAAGCATGCTCCCCTGTGCCTTCTGCTCTCTCATCACTCAGGTGAAGAGCTAATGAAGATGGGTGAGGAGGACGAGCAGGGCTGGTGCAAAGGGCAGCTGGGCAACGGAGAGGTGGGCCTTTACCCTGCTAACTACGTCCAGGTCGTTACGTCCTGATGACCCGCCCCCTTCCTGGGGAATAACGCTGCCAATGGTACTACAGAGTACAGACATCATGAGAATTACTGACAGACAACTGACAGCCATGCCAGTGCAGACAGTCCCCCAGAAGACTGGATGTGCTTGGTGTTTTTTGTTGAGACAGCTGTTGCTCTTAATTTCAAGAATAATGAAACAAGAATACAGTCCAAATTAAAACGGGTGTTTCCTTAACAAACTACTAGAGGATTCATAACAAGAATGGAGGTCATCATCCCATGGACTTTATCCTCGGTCTTTGTGAGAGACATAACCAGTACAGTGCCTTTTGAAAAGGATACCAGGGAAGGATGTTCGCACAGCTCTCCTCTGCCATGTGACTGGCAGCACTCCGCAGTGGATTAGGCTGGGTGACAGTAATGAGCGACCCCTGGAGGACAGGATAGTACATAGCAAGTTAACTGATCACGAGAGGATGCCTCTGCAAGAATGCAGAAATGATCTCACTCTTCAGTTGTGCATCAACTTTTGACATTTCAGTAGCTTTCACTCAAAGCACAATTCACTTCAAGTATTTATTAAGATGAAATGGTATGCACAGTTTTTCACCTGTTACTTGCAGTTTCTTTACAATATGTTGTGTACTTCACATGTTCTTCATTTTCCCTAATATGTTTAGTATGTAAAAGTACGTAGATACACTTAATATTGATAAGGGTATGTTTGGGATAGTTAGTAGATTAAGGTTACAGTGCATTCAAACCCACGTTGGTTCGCTGTGCTTGCTTAGATATATATTTTTCAGTACGATAGCCATACTTATGTGAGATGAGGGATATGAGAGTAATTCCATATCGCCTATTTCGCAACCATTTTTTTGTATTAGAATTTCTACCTGCAGTCAGACTTTTATTTGCATTTTAATTTATTTTTCTTGTTGAAATCATTTTAATTATAATTTTTTGCATTTAAACTAAAGCAACTAAACCAGGGAGAGTAAGACTTGTATAAGTTAGTTGATTTAAACCTTTGGGAAGAAGTGAGATGCAGGTGTGTACAGCTATGAGACTGGTTTGAGGGCAATGGAAACATGTCTGTCTCCACGGCTCTGCACTCACTGTGAACATGGTTTTACATGAAACTACTGTAACAAGCTAATCTATGTACAATTCAGAAATAAAACATTTGAATCAAATCCCAATCCACCAGCTGAATTATTTTTACTTTTTGTCCTATGAGGATAATCAAGTAGTATTGTTGAATGGATTCTTATGCTTGGAAATGAATTGAGTGAACCACACAACCATCTATGTCTGGAAATTAATATAAAACGTGTGTAATTAAATAAATATCACACATATTCTCATTACACATCTTACTGAAGGATCCTTTTTTAAGACCTATGTCTAGACATGCATTGGTGAACCATGCCCTGTGAGAGACAGAATGGTGATTTACTGTAAACCATTGAACAAACAAGCCATACAATTACTCTAGTGTTTATCTGTCAAATGGGCATAAAAATATTGGAACTTCCTGGATAATAGTCTGCCCATTTCTAGTAGGTAGTAAATCTAAATTGGCAGTGATAACAGGACCTTGAAGCCCTGGCATTCCCAGGAGTAGTGTACAGAACCATTTATATAGAATACATTTCCTTCAATGTAGTGAGTGAGTTCCTTTGCAATAACATTGGACTTGTGTGTTCGTTTCTTGACCCAAAACATAATGAAAACAAAGACTGTGTTTACGGTAATGATGGTTATTTAATGATTGTGAAATCATTTTATTATAAGGGATGTATGTAGTGAATTTGCTGTTTGAATGTTAAAGTTTAAAAACTTGAGTATAAATGCAAAAATTGTGAGCAAAGCATTAACTGTAAACCATCGTTGTCAAACATACACTGAGTATACAAATCGTTAACTCTTTCCATGACATAGACTGACCAGGTGAATCCAGGTGAAAGATATTATCCCTTATTGATGTCACTTATTGATGTTAAATCCACTTCAATCAGTGTAGATGAAGGGGAGGAGACAGGTTAAAGAAGGATTTTTAAGCCTTGAGACAATTGAGACCTGGATTGTGTATGTGTGTCATTCAGAGGGTGAATGGGCAAGACAAAAATGTAAGTGATTTTGAATGAGGTATGGTAGTAGGTGCCAGGCGCACCGGTTTGTGTCAAGAACTGCAACACTGCTGGGTTTTTTGCGCTCAAGTTTCCCGTGTGTATCAAGAATGGTCCACCACCCAAAGGACATCCTGCCAACTTGACACAACCGTGGGAAGCATTGGAGTCAACATGGGCCAGCATCCCTGTGGAATGCTTTCGACACCTTGTAGAGTTCATGCCCCGACTAATTGAGTCTCTTCTGAGGACAAAGGAAGGTGTTCCTAATGTTTGGTATACTTGGTGTACATGGCGATTTAGAGGTAGGATTTTTGGGGGGGAGCATGTCTGCAGACTTTCTATTTTGGCTGCACGTGTTCAAGTCTGAGATAAGCGTGTTGTTGATGATAAAATGTCATAAATCATTGTTTTGAATTGCCTATGCTATCTAAATCATAAATCAGGATTTAGTTTTGGTTTTGCTATGTTTATTCCACAACCAAAACATTCATTGATATTTTCAAAGACATTTTATTTGGTGAAATATCTATTTTTTATCAAATGAACTCTGGGTAATGGTGTTGATGAAATTATGTGATAACAACCCCAGAGACCTGGGTCAAATACATTTATTTGAGGTGCACCTGATTTAGCTTGGAGTTTGCAATTTTGGTACTATTCCATTGGATCTATTCTTCAGGGCAAACATTTGTCAAACAAAGTCTAATATTTTAAAGTATTTGACCATTCTATTTGACCCAGTTTTGGCTAACCATGATTATGTTTGAAATAATAATTTGCTCTCGCCTATCTTGGGAGGCTACCGTAGCCTTCACCTTACCGGATGTTTTGACTTCTGAGTGGTTATCTACCTATCTTCCAAGGAACCATCACAATCTCTCACATGTAAAAAAACATTTTTATAATCTCAGTATCACGTGATCCATATTATCTCAAACGAATGAGTTGATGATTAAGCTTAAATAGATAATACATTTCTACTTTGCGGCATCTGTGTATGAAAGCAGAAGAGATCCTGCTCCTCACTTCACCTGCAGTTTTGCCTACATCAGGTAAGTGCTAAACTGCTCTTTCTAGAAGGACGACGCTAGTACTCAGTGCCCACACTATACATTTAATGGAAAGTATGCATTGACTGACTTTTTACAATGTTATTTTTCTTTCAACAGTGGAGGTATTGGACGTGTACGTTTATTTTGACATTTGATTATTTCTGAGTAATATTGGATAGTTGAACTCTTGAATGTCTTCAGAGAAAATGTGTTTAAAATATGCATGTTTTCTTTCCTCTTAGATTAAGAAGGAAAACCCTTTGACCAGAACACCTTCATCATGACTCTTGTCTTCATGCTGAGCCTTACCTCAGGACTGCTGTATACAGTAAACGGTCATCCCCTCGTAAGACATCTCACAAAGTCATATCATAAGAATAGCATTTCAATATGAATATTATGACTGCTTCCATTGCCATACCAAATAAGTTGCATGAGTGTTACAGTGGAAGTCGGAAGTTTACATACACTTAGGTTGGAGTCATTAAAACTCGTTTTTCAACCACTCCACACATTTCTTGTTAACAAACTATAGTTTTGGCAAGTCGGTTAGGACACCTACTTTGTGCATGACACAAGTAATTTTTCCAACAATTGTTTAAAGACAATTGCTTGACATCATGAGAAAATCAAAAGAAATCAGCCAAGACCTCATAAACAATTGTAGACCTCGACAAGTCTGGTTCATCCTTGGGAGCAATTTCCAAACACCTGAAGGTACCACGTTCATCTGTACAAACAATAGTACGCAAGTATAAACACCATGGGACCACGCAGCCGTCATGCCGCTCAGGAAGGAGACACGTTCTGTCTCCTAGAGATGAACGTACTTTGGTGCAAAAAGTGCAAATCAATTCCAGAACAACAGCAAAGGACCTTGTGAAGATGCTGGAGGAAACTGGTACAAAAGTATCTATATCCACAGTAAAAATGAGTCCTATATCGACATAACCTGAAAGGCCGCTCAGCGAGGAAGAAGCCACTGCTCCAAAACCGCCATAAAAAAGCCAGACTATAGTTTGCAACTGCAAATGGGGACAAAGATCGTACTTTTTGGAGAAATGTCCTCTGGTCTGATTAAACAAAAATTGAACTGTTTGGCCATAATGACCATCATTATGTTTGGAGGAAAACGGGGATAGCTTGCAAGCTGAAGAACACCATCCCAACCGTGAAGCACGGAGGTGGCAGCATCATGCTGTGGGGGTGCTTTGCTGCAGGAGGTACTGGTGCACTTCACAAAATAGATGGCATCATGAGGAAGGAAAATTATGTGGATATATTGAAGCAACATCTCAAGACATCAATCAGGAAGTTAAAGCTTGGTCGCGAATGAGTCTTCCAAATGGACAATGACCCCAAGCATACTTCCAAAGTTGTGGCAAAATGGCTTAAGGACAACAAAGTCAAGGTATTGAAGTGGCCATCACAAAGCCCTGACCTCAATCCTATAGAAAATGTGTGGGCAGAACTGAAAAAGCGTGTGCGAGCAAGGAGGCCTACAAACCTGACTCAGTTACACCAGCTCTGTCAGGAGGAATGGGCCAAAATTCACCCAACTTATTGTGGGAAGCTTGTGGAAGGCTACCCGACACGTTTGACCCAAGTTAAACAATTTAAAGGCAATGCTACCAATTCTAATTGAGTGTATGTAGACTTCTGACCCAATGGGAATGTGATGAAAGAAATAAAAGCTGAAAGAAATCATTCTCTCTACTATTATTCTGACATTTCACATTCTTAAAATAAAGTGGAAATCCTATCTGACCTAAGACAGGGAATTTTTACTATGATTAAATGTCAGGAATTGTGAAAAACCGAGTTTAAATGTATTTGGCTAAGGTGTACGTAATCATCCGACTTCAACTGTATATTATTGATTGTAATGATGTAATATCTTGTTTTTGCAGGCTTTGAATGAGGTGACAACTGGAAATGAGGACATGGACACAACAGGTAGGCCACAAATCCTATTTCCTTGTTATGAGAAGACAAGCCAAGATGACATCTGAAACAGTAATTCAACCTGCTACATGATGCTGTTATTGTAAGATTAGTGTAGATTGCCTTTAATGTTTTGTACAGGTACATTTGACAGTGATATTGACGTCTCCGACTTAATTGAGGCAGCCAACGAAAACTTAGGTAAGATCTTAATTTAAGAATGTGTATAAAATCTATTGAATGTTGTGTACGCTATGCTGCCAATGCACAGACATATGTTTTCATTCTATTTCTATGGTCCAATAATGACACCATTAAGATGAAACCATGGCAATGAACTCTGGATTGATGTATTTACCATTATTTCCTACCGTAGGCATTGACAGACATGATCCACTCATCCTATTTGGAGATATTGCTATGGAAACTGGGATTCGGAATGCTTCTCCATGCACAGCTAGAGATTGCAAGTGGCCCAAAAGCAGGAATGGGGTTGTGACTGTGCCTGTGTATATCTCCTCTTCATACAGTAAGTGTATTTTTGAATTCATTTCGTATAGTGGCCATTCACACCTAACTTTCATTATGATCGCCTTACTGGTGTCTAATTTAAAGGGTCCTAAATTCAGTGTGGTGAAAATGATCTTATTCTTTCTTTACAGCTTTAGAGGAGCAAGATATCATCATAAAAGGACTGATCTCCTTCCACCTGTCTACCTGCATCCAATTTGTGTGGTGGAAGCAGCATCAAGATTATTTGTATTTCCACCCTGGAAATGGGTATGTTACAAGTAGACATTCAAATGAAAAGGGAATTCATATAATGCAATTGAGTCTCTAGTCTTTGTCTTTCCTAACACAAGACTGATAATCTAGAAGATAAAACTGTCTGTGTGCTTGGCTCCTGTCTCTAAGGTGCTGGTCATATTTGGGACGTCGAGGTGGTCAGCAGGTGATCTCCTTACAGCAACGTGGCTGTGTCCATCATGGTACGGTCCAGCATGAAGTCCTGCATGCTCTGGGCTTCCACCATGAGCAGAACCGCAGTGACAGGGACAATAATGTCACCATCGTCACAGAGAACATCAGCAAAGGTAAGAGGTCTCCACTTTCTCTTTGTTTTTTAGAGGTTGCTGATGTGTTTGTATTGTCAGACTGAAAATACTAATGTCTTGTCACTGTGAAAAATCTCTATCTCTAAATCTCTTATTTTAGGCAAGGAACACAACTTCAGAAAGGTGGAAACGAATAACTTGATGACTCCATATGACTACACCTCTGTGATGCACTATGGAAGGTCGGTTTCTAGGACTATTTGTATTTATTCAAGCTAAAATAAACCTTCAATCTCCCACCTACTGGTATGCCACAGTTGTGCATGTGCTGTGCAATGATATGTCTTTCAGGTATGCATTCTCTAAAGATTATGGTAAGCTGCCAACCATCATTCCAAAGCCAGACTCTAATGTTCAGATCGGAGGGGCCCGACAGATGAGTCGCCTGGACATCGTGAGGGTCAACAGGTTGTACAATTGCAGTGAGTATAAAAGTTTTATTTCAATCATGCATTTCATAACATGAGAATAAATGTTTGTTTTTGTTAACACTGCTGATGATGGTGTGTGCCTTTATGTTTTTTTGTATTTTCACCCCAATAGGAGAACACTTGACTAAATGAATTTAGAAGACTACAGCAGAGATTTCAACCAACAACTATTCGAAACAAAATCAAATACCAGCTAATCAATTAGCTTCTAGATGAGGTCAAATTCACTTCGCACAATACTCATCCCAGTCATTGCTTTATATTGTGTTGTGCATGCTTCACCACCCAGTTTGGCGCAATTATTCTCTCACCCAAATGTTGTTGTTTTTTTGTCATGTTGACACTGTTATTGTAGATATTATTTTGGGTGATTGTAAGACATTTAGTACTCATTGTTCTATTACATTGGTTGTATGGTTAATGTGATTTCTTATCCCATCTTTCCCCCATTTATTAGCATTCAGAATCTTTACAATTACTGTACTGTATCTAGCTGCATTCATATTTGCTCAATAAAAGTTCACTGTATATACGCCAAGTGACAGTGTATTCCTTCCACTAGGTGGCATCCGAATCTCATATGTACAGTACATACATTCTTTCTTTAATGTCTTAAAACCAACTGTTTCCATTGCCGTATAGAATTCCTTACCATTTGGACAGATTCGCGGCTTCCCCTAAACCTCCAATCAAACTAGTGACTTTTCTACTAAAAGATAAGCACAATGAGTAAGGTAATATAGTGTATGCATACCACACTCATACACAAAATGGGTGTCAGACATGAAAAAGCCAAACATACAAAAAAAACTATAAAAATCTGTGCATCCAGAAATATACAAAAAAATGTCTGCCTCATCTTCCAAGAGTTGAAACCGTTCCCTAGAGCACCAGCCAACTCCAGGTAAATCACACTGTTGAGATCTGTCAGTGACTCACTGGTGCCATCACCAATCTGATAATTGGCTTTGTCAAAGCTTTCTCACATTCGGTGATGGGTTAGGTGGAGGCAGCAAATAAAAAGGGGAAACTAGTCAAGTACTCTACCCATACAGAAATATTTAAACCTAGAAGAACAAGGTCAGTAAAAATAAAACATTGCAACAGATACAATTGGCCATTTTGTATGTGCAGCATCTACAAGTTGTATGGACTTGTATACTATCTTATGTTCCTCCACCGTTGATTCTTTTTAGAGAAAGGTATGTGCTCATACAGTAGATTGGACACAAAATGTGACGATGTTGTAAAATGATGGCAAATTAAATGTGGTTATTTTACTGCTGTAAGCCATGGCAGGATGCTTTGACGTGTGTGCTGAGTTTAGCAAGCCCGGAGGAGTTAGACAGCCCACAGTTCCAATTTACTTTCAGCCTCAACACCTCCTGCTCGGCTCCGACTGTGAGCTGGAGAGGAGGGGTGTCTGACACAGGGATTGAAAAGTGGTTCAAAGCACAGCAGAATGCTCGTCCATTGAACTGATAAGATAACTTTTATCTTCCCTCCCTTGCTCCATCTCTCTCTCTCTCTCTCGCTCTACCTCCTGCTGCTCTTATTTTACTTGTGTTAAATGACTCAACACACTAGCAAAGAAATGTTATATGAGCCTTTCTCACTCCAGGCTCTGACATTTTTTTTTTCATGCTTTGAATACATTTTAGGTACAGTCATGTACAAATATCAACAAAAATGCCTCTGCAGAGCTGGAGATTATATTTTAGAGGCAACATTTTTGCTTCTCAACTCTTGCAAACATTCTGTAGCCTGAGTAGTGTCAGTGTTTACTATTAATACACACACCAATGGCTCCAAGGGTCTAATGAACTGGGCCTGTATTTCTCCTCTAATTATTAAACCAGTTGAATTTATATTATTTATGATGACAGACTGCAGCTCCCAACATTAGGCTTATAAAGGAAGAGCATATAGGGAATGCGTGGGGATGGAGTATTTTGAAACCCCTATAGGACTCATGATAAATTATTAATGCGCTCACTTCCCATGTGATCAATGGCAGCTTAAGTTTGCCTATGCCAGTCATAAATATGCAATTAAATCCACTATCTAACCAGGAGGACTTAGGTTGTGTGATGGTTACAGATGGGCAATGGAGGAGAAAGACACTGAACCAAATAGTGCTTTCAAATGGCATAAAAATAAAATGACGAATGAAAGTGATTACGGTAAGTGGCATACATATTTAACATTCAGTACATTTTTTGGTCTGCACAAATTATCCAGTTATTTATTTATTACAGTTAGGTATTCTTTCAAGTTATTTGCCATTTAAATTACAGCCATCAGGTTTTACAAAAGCTGCTGAGCTAACTCCATGTGCACCGGAGTAGCCTTGGATCCTCCCTAGGTGCCACTGACCTGCATGAGTGTCAAAACCTCATGGAGTGCCAATGGCACAACACACGTAAACATGAATAATTGAGAAGTTGTATTTTTGGCCTTTGAAGATATTGGATGTCGAATGGGTACCGTATGCTAGGCCAACTAGAGACAGCTCTCCTAGTGACAATAGAGCTCGCCAGCTTGTAGCCCTAAAAACTAGAAATGAGTCACTGGTTCTTTCAGCCATTCCAATGGGGAAAGAATAAGATTTTAGGATAAATGCTGAAAAAAAGGTCTGAGGTTAACACAGGCTTAGGAGATCTTATACGTTTTGTTCTATGAGATAATTTCAGTCAGTTAACATGACTTTTATGAATTATGAAGCCTTTATGTGCTTTTTTTAAATTACATAAATGCTTTAAAATTCACAAAAAGGGATTTTTATTTATTTATTTCACCTTTATTTAACCAGGTAAACCAGTTGAGAACAAGTTCTCATTTACAACTGCGACCTGGCCAAGATAAAGCAAAGCAGTGCAATAAAAACAACAACACAGAGTTACATATGGGGTAAAACAAAACATAAAGTCAAAAATACACCAGAAAATATATATACAGTGTGTGCAAATGTAGCAAGTTATGGAGGTAAGGCAATAAATAGACCATAGTGCAAAATAATTACAATTAGTATTGACACTGGAATGATAGATGTGCAAGAGATGATGTGCAAATAGAGATACTGGGGTGCAAATTAGCAAAATAAATAACAATATGGGGATGAGGTAGTTGGGTGGGCTAATTTCAGATGGGCTGTGTACAGGTGCAGTGATCGGTAAGGTGCTCTCCTGAGTGGCGCAGTGGTCTAAGGCACTGCATTGCAGTGCTAGCTGTGCCACTAGAGATCCTGGTTCGAATCCAGGCTCTGTCGCAGCCGGCCGCGACCGGGAGACTCATGCGCAGCGCACAATTGGCCTAGCGTTGTCCAGGGTAGGGGAGGGAATGGCCGGCAGGGATGTAGCTCAGTTGATAGAGCATGGCGTTTGCAACGCCAGGGTTGTGGGTTCGATTCCCACGGGGGACCAGTATGAAAAAAAAAATATATATATATATATGTATTCACTAACTGTAAGTCGCTCTGGATAAGAGCGTCTGCTAAATGACGTAAAATGTGCTCTGACAACTGATGCTTAAAGTTAGTGAGGGAGATAAGAGTCTCCAGCTTCAGAGATTTTTGCAATTCGTTCCAGTCATTGGCAGCAGAGAACTGGAAGGAATGGCGGCCAAAGGAGGTGTTGGCTTTGGGGATGACCAGTGAGATATACCTGCTGGAGCGCATACTACGGGTGGGTGTTGCTATGGTGACCAATGAGCTAAGATAAGGCGGGGATTTGCCTAGCAGTGATTTATAGATGGCCTGCAGCCAGTGGGTTTGGCGACGAATACGTAGTGAGGACCAGCCAACAAGAGCGTACAGGTCACAGTTGTGGGTAGTATATGGGGCTTTGGTGACAAAATGGATGGCACTGTGATAGACTACATCCAATTTGCTGAGTAGTGTGTTGGAGGCTATTTTGTAAATGACATCGGTAGGATAGTCAGTTTTACGAGTGCATGTTTGGCAGCATGAGTGAAGGAGGCTTTGTTGCGAAATAGGAAGCTGATTCAAGAATGTAACTTTGGATTGGAGATGCTTAATGTGAGTCTGGAAGGAGAGTTTACAGTCTAACCAGACACCTAGGTATTTGTAGTTGTCCACATACTCTAGGTCAGACCCGTTGAGAGTAGTGATTCTAGTCGGGTGGGCGGGTGCCAGCAGCGTTCGATTGAAGAGCATGCATTTAGTTTTACTAGTGTTTAAGAGCAGTTGGAGGCTACTGAAGGAGTGTTGTATGGCATTGAAGCTCGTTTGGAGGTTAGTTAACACAGTGTCCAATGAAGGGCCAGATGTATACAAAATGGTGTCGTCTGCGTAGAGGTGGATCTGAGAGTCACCAGCAGCAAGAGCGACATCATTGATATACACTGAGAAAAGAGTCGGCCCAAGAATTGAACCCTGTGGCACCCCCATAGAGACTGCCATAGGTCCAGACAACAGGCCCTCCGATTTGACACATTGAACTCTATCTGAGAAGTAGTTGGTGAACCAGGCGAGGCAGTCATTTGAGAAACCAAGGCTATTTAGTCTGACAATAAGAATGCGGTGGTTGACAGAGTCGAAAGCCTTGGCCAGGTCGATGAAGACGGCTGCACAGTACTGTCTATTATCGATCGCGGTTATAATATCGTTTAGGACCTTGAGTGTGGCTGAGGTGCACCAATGACCAGCTCGGAAACCGGATTGCATAGCGGAGAAGGTACGGTGGGATTCGAAATGGTCGGTGATCTGTTTGTTAACTTGGCTTTCAAAAACTTTCGAAAGGCAGGGCAGGATGGATATAGGTCTGTAACAGTTTGGATCTAGAGTGGATCTAGGATGTTAGCTGATGAAGATGATATTTTAGAACAAAACGTATAAGATCTCCTAAGCCTGTGTTTACCACAGATCTTATTTTTTGGCGTTTATCCAAAAACCCTGCAAAAACTCCATTCATTACCCTATAGGCTTTGTCCAACGAGCCATGGCGGAGTTTGTGCCTACAAAAAGATGCCATTACTAATTGTTCCCTTTTGCTTCCTGAATTTTCTTTAGAGAAAATAATGCAAATCACTCTTTGAACGCATAATGTAGGAAATCGCAGTTATAGAAAATGCCAGAGTTCTCTCCCACCAAACAAGAACCTTTGTTATGAAACAATCAAATCAAATCAAATTTCATTTGCCACATGCACCGAATACAACAGGTGTACACCTTACAGTGAAATGCTTACTTACAAGCCCTTAACCAACAATGCAGTTTTAAGAAAAAAAGTATTGAGTGAAAAATATATAAGTAAAAATAACAAATAATTAAATAATTAATTAAAGAGCAGCAGTAAAATAAAATAACAGTAGGGAGGCTATTTACAGGGGGTCCCGGTACATACAGTATAGAGATGTTTTTTTTTTACAGAGTGCACCAGATAGGAATGGGGGGTTGTGATGAGGAGCACCATGAGGTTGTGTAGGGACCCCTTCTACCCCAACCCCCTTTTCTCCACGCTTCATGAGTTTACAGTGTTGAACATCAGATGAAGGGTCTGTGAAATACAGAGTGTGT